TTTAAAAATATAATTTAACTTTAATTAATTTTATTTATACATTCATACATATATCATATATATATCAATTTAGATATATGCAATATTCAAACAAATATTAATTTAGACATATGCATTATTAAAATCATATATATATGTACAATAAATTTTATCACATAATTATGTCGTTATAAAAATATTGCAGTAACATAATTGTTAATGCTAAAAATCTTAAATCCTTTAACTTTTTAAAAAATTAATGTAATCTATTCAATAATATAATTTTATGTTTGAACTATTCTTTTTTATCACATATGATGATAAATTAAAAAAGAATGAATAATAAATATATAATATCAATAATGAGATTTTAATTTTTTGTGATTTTAAATTAAAATTCACTAATTTTTCAACAAAATAAGTTACTTTTATTAAATGTTTTTTATATTAAAAATACAATATATTATATAAAAAATGAATATTATAAAATATAATACCACAAAAGCTGCATATAAGTGAAAATTAAAAAAATTAGAATGATTCACTTGATATATAATAATTAATAAAAAACACTTTTATTGAGGCCACAATATTCAATCATATGTATCTAAATACAATTGAATATAATTCATTTTATCTCACCATGATATTTTGCAACAAATTAACAATAAGTAAAATTTTGTACGATTATATAAACAATTCATTCAGTAATAATACACTTTCAAAAACTTTGTAATAAGAACTTATTAATTTCATTGATTGCAAATTATTAATCACATAATGTCTTTCAACAAAATAATAATACATCAAATACGACTAAAAAATCTAATCGATAAAGGACATGCACTGTCTAACCTTATATTTTGTAATATTGTCACAATATAGTTTTTAAGAAAATAATTTTTGAAAGAAATTTTTTATTATAAAAAATTACAATTTATTATTTTGCTTAACTAATCTAGAATATAATATAATAGTAATAATATATTTAAATACGTTCATAAACAAAACCTATTATTAAATTAATCTAAAAACACTTCTTACTAAAAATCCCTAATATTGTCTAGATACAAAATATATTTTATTAATATTACATTTAAATTTATTACTTATAAATGATTTAATATATTTGTTTTATTTCATAAATAATTTATTTTACATTATAGAAAATATGAAAGAATTTTTATTTGAATACATATTTTCTTTAATTTATATTTATATTTGATATTTAGAAAACACTGTTATAATTATTTTAAATTATTCCGAAAACATATTTCTTTTTTCTTTATTTTTATTTATTTATATTAAAATGAAATTTTTAAGACTTTCTAAAAAGATTGGCGTTTAAAAACTATTTAATTTACTCTGTAATTCTTCATTCTCAACGCTAGATGTCATAACAAAATGTCAAATTGATTTACCTATATTCTTCTATCAACTTTATAATCAATGATGAAAAATGTCAAGTGTTTAATTGTACAACCTGGCAGCTCAATTATAAGGATTTAAAATGACTTCTGTTGACTGGGATGAAATTAAAAGATTAGCAGCTGATTTTCAAAAAGCACAATTAAGTTCTACACTACAAAAGTATAATTTATTTTCATAACATATATTTCTCTTTTTTTAATAATTCTACATTATTATAATAAAATTTATAACAAATTAATTTTAAACAGCTGTAGAATGAAATTATATTTTCTTTTATAGATAAAATAAATTTAGTTCATATTAAAAAAACTATTTGGTATAGTTCTGAAAAAAATTCTATTTGCAATAATTTTTTTCAAAAATAATAATTTAATCTAATATATTTTATCATAATTTTTGTTCTATATTTTTTTATAATATTTTTTCTAACAGGTTATCAGAACGCAATTGTGTAGAAATTGTAACAAAATTAATTGAGAATAAATTGTTAGATGTAATATTTACTAATGATGGTAAAGAATATGTTACACCTCAATATCTTGGCAAGGAAATTAAAGATGAATTGTATATTCATGGTGGAAGAATCAATTTAGTTGATTTATCACAAATTCTTAATGTTAATTTGTCTCAAATATCTAAAGTAGCAAATGATTTAGAAAGACATAATAAAGGATTAAAAATAATACTTGGACAACTTATTGATAAAACTTATACAAATAAAATTGCTGAGGAAATCAATGACAAATTAATCCAACATGGATTTATTAATGTGTCAGAGTTGACAATTCATTATGATTTACCAGCTGATTTTTTACAATCAATAATTGAAAAAGAATTAGGAAAAACTATATATGGCAAACAAGATACTCAAGATTCAAGAGTTTTTTATACAGAAAGTTTTATAGCAAGAAATAGAGCAAAAATAAGAGGTGCCTTATCTGCAATTACAAAGCCTACACCATTATCAGCAATTTTGGGACAATGTTCTGTTTCTGAAAGAATATTCTTTTGTGAGTATAATATAAATTGCATATATAAATAAAATATACTAATATATAATAATATGTTTATATTTTGAGCATTATTATGTTTATATTTACAGCAATTCTAGATAGTTTACAAGAAATGAAACAAATTCCTGGTATTGTAGCAGGAAAACAAGGAACAAATAGTCTTTATATACCAACCATATATTCAAAGAGTCAAAATGAATGGGTAGATAATTTTTACAAACAAAATGGTTATTTAGGTCTGTGCTTCATTTTATAATATAAAAATAACTAATGATATGATAATAACATATTTAAAATGTAAATATGATCTTTCAGAATATGATGCTCTTATTCGTCTTGGAATATCAGATCCACCAAATTTTATTAAACGTCATTTTCCAAATGAAAATATAATTTTCTTAGATTCTGTTGCTGTGGGTACAAGTATTAGAGATCAAATAGATTCAAATATTGAAGAAGCTATTGCAACTGGATCTTTTGTTGATATAAGTCCTCTTTTACCATCTGTATTTTCTGACAAAGATATGGAAATGCTTCTTAAAATTGCAGAGAAAAAAATAAACAACAATACATATGTATTTGCAAAAACTGTAATTATGTCTGATGTATTCCTACAATCTTTAAATAAATCATTCGAAGCAATGGCAGAAGCAAAAGCTAGAGAAGCAGTAGCTAGTGGACAATGGTTTCAAACAATAGCAGAAAATAAAATTAAATCTAAATCAGCAGATTTAATATTTGAAAATAAAGGAAACAAAAAAGAAGAACGTCGAAAAAGGGCTGCAACTGGTAAAGCAGGTGGTGGTAATCAAGGAAGAGAGACAAAAACCAAATCTACTAAAAAGAAATATTTACAAGGAAAAATTCGTGACAATGAATCCGATGATGAAAATATAAAAGTTGCTTCAACAAAAATTGAACTTAAATTAGTCTATTTAGACGATATTAAAAATGAAATTGCAAAAGATGATAATTTAACGATAATTGATGATTTAGTAGATGAATTAGCATTATATTTAGAACAAAAAATAAATAACTATGCTATATCCATTGCAGATCAACTAGCACAAAACAATAAAACTACTAATTTAAGTGAAATTGAGGAACGTTTAAATATTTTAATAACAAATATTAAAATATTTGATAAAGGCATTAAACATATGGATAAAACAGATCAACCTGCTTTAACAAAATATTTATTAAAATCTCTTGTAACTGATTTTATAAACGAATTATTTAAATTAGCCGCGCAACAAAATATGCTTCAATTTCCTGAAAATATTACTACCGAAATAAGACAAAAAATATTACTTGACTTACCAGAAGATGTGAAAGAACCCTTAAATAATATACACAAATCTATCACTGGAAATTCTATAGATGATTTTTTAAATTTTGTAGATGCAGCAATGGCAACTTGCTGTTTGGTATTAAAAAAATATGATAAAAAGAAAGAAAGACCATTTATTTTAGGCCATAGAGAAGCCTTATTAGAAGAGCTTAATGGTACCCAAGATCCTGCATTGGCATTACATCTAGTTACAAGTATACTGTTTACTGCAGCAACCCAAAGTGTTTTACATATGTCTGGAAGACATGTATCTACAGTACTTTCATTTCTTCAAACACAATTACAACTTCCAACAATGAAAATATTATTTAAATATCATGGTATGAAATATTTTATAGTTTAAATATTCTATAAATTTATGTGCAATATATTATTATTAATATTATTAATATATATATTTATTTGTGTAATACTTATATTTATATTACAGATATGGTATTAAAAAATTTAACTTCTTCAGATGAAGAAATAAAACTTGCTATTCAGAAAGATCTAGAACTTGGATTGATGGAAATAAAAAATATTGCAATTAATTATAAACAACATTTAAAAAATGATAAACTACAAGAACAGTGAATAAAAACACATAATTGTATATAAATATAAATATTATTAATTTGTATAAAAATATACTCAAAAAGTTTTATATTGTTTTGCAAATTATGAAATTTGCAATAAATTGCAATAAATTATTAAAAAAATTAAAAAAAGAATAATTGGAATTAATAACATTATCCATTTTTATATATAAATAGCAAATAATATTTTTTAATATTTTAATTTAAAAATCTTATAATTATTTTAATCCTAATTTTCAATACATTTACATATTATTTTATATATATATACAAATTTTATTACTCTATTATTTATAATGTTAATATATACTAATTATATATATTATATATAATAGCTAATACTAATAAAATGCTATTCATTTGTTCTTCAAATTTTGAAAATTCTCATAATATATTACATATAACATTTCTGAATAACAATATTTTGTGCATTTTAATTTATATTATAAAGTTGCTAATATTCTTGTAAACCCAACACATCCTGCTACAACAGTTTGACCAATACCCCAAAATAATGCATATAATGGTGGCAGTGGATATCGAGATGCTCTGTATACAAAAGCAACAGCAGCAGAGCTAAGAACTCCTGATGTTAGTGGTAATATTACACCCATTATTATAATCAACAATGGGAAGAATCTTTAAATAAAAGTTCATTTATATTATTATTTTATATTCTAAAAATATCATACATAGAAAAAATTTTAATATTTTGTATATTTATTCTTAAATTTGTTCATAATTATTATTATTTATACTTTTAATATATATGAACATTAATATAATATTATATTATAAATTTATGTATATTATTAATAAATTTATACGTACTTTCCATATTTATGTTGTCTTAATGTAGCAAAACAAATTGCACCAGCTATAGTATGAACAAAAATAGAAGAAAATAGGGCCCATAAAAATATTTGATACCACATTTCTGCAAAAGTTATAGATATCGAAAGAGATATTTAAATATTTATATAAAATTTAAAATAATGAAGAATAACTTTCATAAATATGTACATACCAGCAAATGAAGTTAAAGGTGTGTAAAAAACATTGCCAGTATTTATATTTCTTAAATTAACTGGTGGTCGCAAAACAGAAATATCTGTTTGTGCTTCCATCATAATTATTTCAAAAATATTTTAAAATATGTTCTCTATATCAACATTAAGAAAAGTTATAACTTCAATAATGTGATTATAATTGAGTATTTTTATGTAAAATAACATTTTATACATAAGTAACAATCAAAACAACATCTAAAAAAAATATTCTTAAATGCCAAATAAAACACAGTATCATATATATAAATATCTTTAATTTTATTTTTTAATATATTAAAATAATATTTTAAGTAATAAAATTTAGGATTTTTTCTTAATTATATCATTTACTATTAATTAAAAATAATAAGAAATTGTACAAATTTTAACTTACATCGTCATTTTATATTATTTGTATATTACATACGTCATATTAACACATACATTTTCATTTTAATAAATTACTTCTACATATAATAATATGTTATAATATATTATATTTAATATCATTTTAAATTTATTTTAGCCTTTCTTTATAATAATTACAAGCATAATAACAAGTCAAACTTATCATATATTAGATAGACAAGATGAATATAAAATATGTTCAACTATCAGCGCACTCTTTTAAATTTACTTGAAACTATATAAAATCAATATCATAAACTAACAAAAATTAAATGAGAAATCTTACAAATAATTTTCACAAAACTATTATATATAATTGTACATAAAATACTGTATATAAACATATTTAATATAATATAATATAAAACTCTTTATAATAAATAAATTAAAATATTAAATATAATTAATAATTTCTATATATCTTTTTTTATACTATCATAGAGATTTTACAAATTTATTACAGTTGGCTATAATATAAAGCAACAAATATTTAAGGCTCATTTACACAATACATTAAATGTCAGATATTTATCGAAAGTTAACTAGGGGATTTAAATTGAATAATACCTAAACAGTATTTAACAATATTGAATAAATTTAAGAAAATTGAAAAAAATAAAATAATATATTAAAATGGATAATCAATCAACATCTTCAGCATCTTTTTATGAATCTTCTTCACAATATAAAGAAGAAAATACTATGTTACTTTATCAAAACATAAAAATGGTTAGAGGTTATATTTACATATAAAAAAAATTTGTACGTTTTAAATACATTTATTTTTTTGTATTGTATTTTATTACCTTTGTTTATAATATGCCAAATAATACTGTTATTTAATTTTATAAAAATCACATTTATTTTATAATTTTTTTATTTTAATCATTTGATTTCAATATACGACATAATTTCTTTTTCTTTACAGATTTTACAAGATGTATTGAAAGGTGTAAATGATGTTGATAAAAACTTAAAAGATATAGAAGGAGACATCATAAATACAGCTAAATTGCTTAACGCAATTGAAATAAAATCAAATGAAATTTAATTATTTTTTTATATTAGTATTAAATAATGTACAAATGAAAAATCCAAAATAAATAAAATTTTTTCTAATTTTTAATATATATGGTGTTAAAAAATATTTAATTCATAAAATTTAATTTCTATTAATCTTTATAATTATTTAAAATTTGTGTGTATTTAAAATAATTCCTCTAACATAACGCAATAGATCGATAATATTGCCACTTCTTTTTTTGATCATCTCTGATGATAAAATATCCACTGATTGTAATTCACGATTTTGGATTATCGCAGTAGGTAATCAAATCGACCGAACATAAACTAATGAATATAATGAATAAAAATTGAAAAATATACGATCTATTGAGAAAAACACGCATATTATATCAAAATAAAATTAAAAAAAAAATTAACTTATTTAATGAAGTAATAATATAATTTTATTTTTTATTTTTTAAGACATATTTATTTTTAATAATTTCTTCATTGTTTTTCAAAATTCATTAATTTCTTTTATTTATTTTAATAATGAGTAATTTAACATTAATATAATAATAATAATAATATATTAAAATAATGTCATATATTTTTCTTTTAATTTTGAAGACGTATATTTTTACATCAATTTTATATTTTAATTTAATTTAAATTAAATTAATATAACATGTAATTTATTATTATTTCATATAATTTATAAAATATAAAAATTATAAAAGTATTAAATATCTGATATTATTTACTAAAAAATTTTTATTTTTCTATTCGAAATAATATAAATTTATTGTAATAATATATATTTCAAATTTTCTAAATTATATAAAAATCACTGAATATTTTTTATAGTTTTAAAATATTTTACTTTAAAATTATTTTATTTGAAATCAAAAAATACGAATGACATAACGAGTTAATTTATGATATATTTATGATAAACCAAAAGAAATAAGATACTAAATTTTGTAACATCGTTTTATCAAGAAAAAGTTAAAAATAACAGCAAATTCTTATATATTAATAATAAAAAATAATAAAATAATAAAAATAATATACATATATTTTATAAAATTAATATTTCATGTTTATGTTAAAAATATATCCGTTTTCGAAAATTGATATGTTATAAAAAAAAATATCCATAATATTAATATTATTAATATACATTACAAAAATAATAATTAAAATTAAAATAATCTATAAATATATTATACAATATTATAATAATAATACACGATAATAATTCCATTAATGAAAGTTCAAAAGTTGTTTAATTATTTTGAAAAGAAGTTCATGTTTTAGAACTTGCACGATCCATCGTCGTTAAGTTAGAGGCATAATCCACAATTGAATAAGATCAATTCTCATTACGATATATTCTTTCAATTTATCGAAATCAGTAATTATTTTTCATCATTCGCAGTTGGTTCACATATTTTACGTTACATTTCGATCAATTGAAGGGTTATCTCTAGAAAAATTTCGACAGCCGAAATTCCAGTTGAGTCCGATCGAGACGATGCTAGTTGGGGGTAATTGTGACCACCTCCTTCCTGGTATGATCAGTTTCAATAAAAATAATTATCGCGGCGGTCTCTTTCGAAGTAAAAATCGATGATGAGTATAGAGGGTGGAAATAAATTGGGTACGACTATTACGTGTGCACAAACGCACGGATAATGAATTCAATTGTTTGGTATGGTTTTTATTACTCCTACTCCTTCATATATCGTCCAATCAGGAGTAAGCAAGGACGCCCGTCGCCACATTCGAAATATATAAATGTGTCAATATCTGTTCCTCGACGCTCAGTCAGTATTTTTATTCCTGCCAAACTGACTATTAAATAGTGAACCATCGTATTCCAAGATCGAGAGAAAGTCGACGAAGAAATGGTAAGTTTGATTTTTCAACGGAGTTCCTAGGATTTGTTGTTTTATAGATACTTTTTTTTACCCTCTTTTACGATGTTTACGTTCGTTACACGATTGACAGACGATAAAAATTCGAATTGGCCAGTCTGTCAATAAACCGTGGTTAATTAGAACATTTTCTAGTTAAAATATTATTTCTTTTTCTTTATTTTTTTATACGTTGTTTTTTCTTTCAAATAGAAAGGAGAAATCCTTTCTATTTAAAATTTCATTTTTTTTTTAAATTCTTAAAAATATATATATATATTTCTATGTATAGATATCATGAATATAAAAAACAAAAAAGAAACAAATAGATAAAAGAATTTTTAATAATTTTTAGTTTAAAGAAAGGAAGAAAAAATTTTTTCTTCCATTTTCTTTTTTTTTTTTTCTTTTTTAATATATATACTTAAAAATTTCTTTCAAAAAAAGAAGGACAAGAATTAAAATAAAGAAGAAAAATATATGAGAAAGAAATATTTCTTTCCCCCCTTTTTTTATTATTTTTTTTAATAACAATACAAATATCCTATATATCCTATCTATTCTTTTGAGAAAAGAAAAGAAAGAATTTCTTTTTCTTTTCCTTTTTTTTTTTTTTTTTTTTTTTTACTTTTTTCAAAAAGAATAATTAATGTTATATTCTTGCATACATACATCTAGAAATAAGAGGAGAGTAAAAAATTTTCATTCATATTTCATTCATATTTCTTTCGTGTTTTATACTGCATATTTCCTTATCGCGGTTTACGGTCTCCCTGATATCATCTCTAGATTACGATGCGTTAAAGGGCTCCGCGGAAAGAGGGCGCGAGATCATAGGGAAGATGCGAAGATTGTATAAGAAGTTGCATCATTCGGTTCGAAACCTCCTCCCGTGATGTGCGCTCCTAGAAAGCATCTCCGGCGCGAGTATCTTTATCGAAAGTTCTATCTCGTAGCAGTACCAGATTCGATATTTTTGCGGACGTTATCTACGTGTGACAATTACCCGTCGTGATTCACGAGTTCAAAGGTAAGGATCGATTCGAATTTTCAGAATAGAATATTAACGCCCCGCGTAATATTAAATATTAAAAAGGTACGTGACCACGTGCAAATAGATTTTTATGTGAAAAGAGAGATAATAGGGACGGTGAGGTGAGATTTGTTAAAGATAATCGTAGCAGAGATAATCGTAAGAAATGACAAGGCGGACGAAATTTTAGATACATATAAATATAGATTTTTGAGAAGTTTATATTACTTCTTAGTTCCTCGAAAGCAGATAACGTACGAAGAACTGCATTCTATTTTTAGTTGCATATATTTTAACAAGCAAAATTTCGACCAACTTTCCTCATTTTCACAGACTGTCCGATTTCTCTTATTTTCTAATCGGTTGACACTTTTCGATTAATTTCATCATGCTGTACTCATAGAGGTTTAGAGATGTTTAAACATTGCTTCGCGATAACATCATCTCACCTGGTCTCGTATCAGTTTTTTCGATTACATTCCAGCTGTGTCGTAATTTTTATACCGCAGAATTATATTAACGCAATATATTATTAATCCTTTCGGTCGCTCGGTGAAAATTGAATCAAATTATAATATCCCTCGATCTTAGATAATTATTTTATTTTAGAATATAAATTATTATTATTATTCTTTACACGTGTACTCAATTACAAGATACGAAGAATTAAAATTTACATCCAGAATATTTACATATAATTATATATTCAATAACGTAATAAAATTATTAGATTGTATTCAATTTCTAATTTTTCAAAAGAATACGCACAAGCTGTTCTACAAAACACATTTAATAGCAAAACGTGCTTAAAGAATATTTCTCCCATTCACATTCAAAATATATCTACATTCATTAAATGTTTCGGATAACATTGTTCACGTTAATACCTTGCCGCTTAGATTTATATAATACTTTTTGCTTACGCAACTAATTATTTTCCAGATAAATTAAACGAAACACCACTGTCTCATTTGCATTTAAACACCACTGTGATCTATACCCCCCAAATCGAAATATCGAAGGAATTGCTTATTCGTCTTATTCCGAGACGATAAACCGTCCAATATCTCGGAAGTTTTAGCCACTTTTAACTCCTCCTCGGGGACACGCTGCATGCAAGTGTTTGCAGCAAAAAAAAGTTACGCACACCAACACGTCGCATCGTGTATCGCCTCCAGATTCTCCCTTATTTTTTTGCACCGCATGTGTGTTCATTAACGCTCCGCGCGCGAATTCATTTCCAAACATCTTGCCTCGTTAACAGCCCAAGTTACTTAATCTCCTTTAAACGGTACGCGTGACCTTCCTTCCTCCTCTCGCTCAGTAACGCTCTGTAACGACCGTCACGGGAAGGAAAAGGGGGAGCAAGAGAAAGCCGAGACGAGAAGACGCCAAAGATAAAATGATGCGGTAGCATCTAAATTTTATTCGTGAACTTGGTTGAGAAGGACCGATCCCAAAGGCGAGGGAACGCCTCAAAGTCACGGTGAACGACGCGGCCAGCACGTTCACGCATTCTAAAATCCTAAACGGACGTGTCGAGGTGGAGGAACCGTGAGAGAGACACACCGATTTAAGTCGAAGAGAGATACATGTACAATGTCATTCGGAAATCGGGTATTCCTCGCGCGGCACGTTGTCGGTATAACGTCGGAAGGATACAGGGCGAAGGTATCGAGTGTCGTGCTTTGTACGAAGAGAATAAAACACGATATATAAAGGAAATCTCTTTAATTTGGTGATTTCGATGCTCACGTTAACGAGCAGGCAATGCGATAGATTCAACCGCACGACCTATGAAATAATCCCACCTGAGATCGTCTAGAGATTCCCGTTGTGTGAAACTTGATTATAATATCTTCAGTTTCGAAATTGATTATCATTTCCACGATATAAGTTCCGTTTTTAAAAAAATCCTTGAGTGGTTCTAGTTAACGGTGACACCTGAACAAATCGATCCCCGTAAAACGTGTCGGATCGAAGAAAGTGTGTTAAATTCACGTGAAAAACGCGGTAAAATCGTAGTAATTAGATCGTAATATTATCGGCGCGTTGTCGGTGAAATTATTAAACGAAATTATGATACGATTCGATAAAGGGGTAAGCAGAAAAGAGAAAGAATGAGATGTGATATGTCCTCCTTTATTATTATTTATATATATTTAATTATCGTCCCGTTCTCAAAAGTTTCATTGTTGAATTTCATTGTTGCCAATTGTGTTTATTCGTATCCCCGAAGGAAAGTTGAATGAATCGATACTATAAATCTCGCGCACCTAACCCGACAATTAAATCCGCATTGTTATATTCAATCGGAGCAACTTTTGCGAAAAGAGCGTGACGTTAGTGTTCCTCAACATCATTCTGATTCAATCATTGCACAATTTTCTTTCACATTCATCAAATCACGTTCACTTTGATTTAACATTGTTATCCCGATGTTTCGGTTAATTGTTAAAGATGCTAATCTTCTTTTATTTTTTATTCACGATTTTGATTTTTTATGTTTCAGATGCTGATCAATTTCGTTTTTGTTATTACCATTATTTTCGTTATTGCCGTGTACACGGTTTCGGGACACCCCTTTTCGTTCCTACCACGACATGCCGTCGAACGAGCTGCAGAACGTAGGAGCATAAGCAGGCAAATGATAGAACACAACTCTAATTTCCTGACGCCGTTATCGGAATATGGAACACGTTCTGAATCAAAAGTAACAATCAATTTTTTTTTATCTTATATTCCTTAATCAAATATCTCCTTAATCGATAAACTTAAGAAATGAATTTAATCTGAAAAGAAATATAAAGTTGAGACTGATAAAGATCTAATTTCGAAGAGAGATTTGAAAAGAATTTGCAATTTGATCTAATGTTGTTAACGTTTTGATTTTATGCAGCCAGTAGAACCATGGACTACTATCACTCAGAATCCAGTAAACGGTATCGAAACTACTATGGGGTAAATATGACATATTAAAATAAATGAAAATGCAAAAGTAATATCGATAATATTGTGCTTTTTTTTATTGCAGAAGCAGAGTGGAATTAGAATGCAAAGCTAGCGGTAGTCCTCCGCCGGAAATTCTGTGGTTTACAGGAAGTGGTAGCAACGAACAAGTGAATATCACGGACAAATGCAATTTTACATTGTACATTGTGAGCAAGAGAAAGAAGAAAGATATTAATTCGTAATATCTTTTTTGCCGTAGCTTATCGAATATGTGAAAGCCAGTACACATTCCTTGTACGATCCATCCGAGGAGTGGAAAGGAGTGGCCAGAATTAATTCAAAGCTCGTGATAGAATGCGTTACTCCGGATGATGCTGGATTAATCTACTGTGCGTCGGTTTCTGCGAGAGAGGTGAAGATCTCCACTCCTACGGTGCTGTTGGTTAACAGTAAGTGGAATATTAACAATCTAAAATTATATTAACATGAAGCTTTGACCAACTGTCACGCAACCCTCTTATTTTATATAATGCATTCGCATATTTCTCTAATAAGTGATTCATAAAACTCTGGATCTTTTCCCATGCATTATTTACAATTGAACACAATATCAGTTGTCTTATTATTTTTTTAAAATAAATGATTATAATGATTTCGATTTACATCAAATCGGTGTTAACGTATTATTGATGAGTATTTGAGAAAGATTTCTGAAAAATATATATTTTTATATATATTCTTTTTTATGTAAAATAATCACTAATTAACTCAAAAACAATATCATACAAATAATTACATAATTGTAACGTTTGTATTTAAGATTTTTTATTAAAAATTAATATTAGTATTACTCTCTGCAACAGATTCAAACGAAATAGACACCTGTTAACATGATTTTGTCATGGCAGACTAAAACTAATATTAGTGTCTTTGAATTATATTTGAAATATATAGTAAATTCTGTATAAGAGAAATATTTCAATATTTTAAAATTATTGGTTCAATTCTTTAATTAATTACAATATTGATAAAACCTTAAATATTAAGAAATTTTAATTTAAATTAAATTTAAATTATCATTTAAAATCTTATTCAACAATTATTTTTTTGTTACAGATGAACGTGGTTTAAATAATTGCAGTTCTGAAAGTGATCCAATAATCACTCTTTATTCTCCTACATTAGTAGCAAATATAGGAGTAACTGTGGTGTTGCCATGCAGGGCAAGTGGCAAACCAACACCGCAAATTACTTGGGTGAATAATTATAACATACCTCTAAGTTTATCAACTAATTTGCGACATAGAGTATTAGACAGCGGTGATCTAATGATAGAGGAACTCTTATGGGAAGATATGGGTGGTTATACTTGTCAAGCGAAGTCTGGAAATCGTCAACAAGTCGTCAGTACATTCCTTTATCCTTTGCGCGTAAGTTTCTATATTTTTATTTAAATTTAATATTTTTTAATCTATTTAATTCAATATTTAACTTTATACAAAATATATTATACAATATATTATACAAAAGATATTTAAGTTTTTAGCAATTTTATAAATAAAATCGTTTAATTTATGAAAAAAATTTTCTCAAAGAAAAAGTTTAAATAAATGTCTATTATTTTTCAGCCTGAAAAAGAAGTGTCTCGGACGGTTAATTAAATAAATTATGAAAAAATAAATCCGGATTGATCTCTTTCTACTATTGTACGATATGCCATAATCTTCTTGCGCAAAATTTCGGTGTTCGTTAGTGGTCATATGGTATTATTTTTAAGTATGAGCATTATGCATAATTCTATGCAGCGAGATTATATTTTGGTACTGAAAACATGACAATGCGTTCAAGAATCAACAACGCTTCGTTTAATTATTATTAATTAAAACGCAGCCATTATTTTACTTAAAAGTTTTATAATAGATTTTAAGGTGCCAAAGAGTTTTATATTCGATTATGATAATGACTTTAGCAAGTTTAAAATAGCAAATTAAGCTATATATTTCAATATTTAATTATTATCTATGTTGCGATACCTCTTGAATGAGGATTCATCTAGTTTAAACAAATTATTTATTTATTTTATATATCGATTTAATAAGTAGATATAATAAAAAAGATTTCGTTTAATATGATATAATAAGATTAATTTCTAAATTCTATGTAATTTTATGCTCGATGAAAAAAACATATCGATTCTTTGACCTCGATTCCTATTTCGCTTATTATTATTAATTAATATTTTTATCTATTTTAATCTTTCATCTGAAAAATTATCATAATCTATTATCTATTTTAAACTATCTATTGTAAACTGCTATATTTTTATGTATAAATAAATGTATTTCATTTCGTACAGTGTTTATAAATTTGTATTATATTTATTTCCTATTATTTAATTTTTAAATTAAAATTTAATTCATTGTATTTATTAATTAATGTAAGAAGTTTAAAGAAAAATTTAAAGAAATGACCTTGTATGAAAGATCATTCGATAATGCATTAATATTTTTATTGAAAACACGTATTTCATTTTTCTGTAACATTTTTCACTTAAAAAAAAAAAATGGCAAAAAAACTGACTGCAAAAATTGGACCTTCGATTCTAAACGCTAATTTGGCACAACTTTCGGAAGAATCACAACAATTAATTAATAATGGTGCTGATTATTTACATTTGGATGTTATGGATGGACACTTTGTACCTAACCTCACTTTTGGTCACCCATTAGTAAAATGTCTTCGACATAAAATAAAAGATGCTTTTTTTGAAACACATATGATGGTCTCTAATCCTGATCAAGTATGTTTTATTTTATTTTATACTTAAAAATGATTTTTTAATTAAAAAAAAATTAATATTTCTATATATTTATTTATTAAGTAAATTTCATTTAAAAAGCATTATACAATATTTTTTTTCTTTATTTTAGTGGATAGAACCTATGGCTGATGCTGGTGTTAATCAATATACATTTCATGTTGAACCAGTAAAAAATGTTTCATTAACTTGTAGAAAAGTAAAAGAAGCAGGAATGAAAGTATGTACTTATTTTATATATAATATTTTTAAATTAAACTTGCTTAATTAAAAAATTGTTTATTATATTCATATTTTTTAAATGAAAGGTTGGAATTGCACTTAAGCCAGGGACTCCAGTAGATGTAGTTGTAGAATATATTGATTTAGCAGATATGGTATTAATTATGACTGTAGAACCAGGTTTTGGTGGTCAAAAATTCATGGAACCAATGATGAAAAAAGTATCATGGCTTAGAAAAAATTATCCTACATTAGATATAGAAGTAGATGGTGGTGTTGGGCCAGAAACTATTGATTCATGTGCAAAGGTATATATAATTTCATTAATTTCATTTTATAACAAAAAAATAAATTACATGTATACATTTTTTAGGCTGGTGCAAACATGATTGTCTCTGGAACAGCCGTCATAGGTTCTTCTGATCAAGCAAAAGTTATTAAAACTTTAAGAGATACAGTAAATTGTGCATTACAAAATAATTAAACAATAAAAGAAAAAAAAACATTTTCTAGTATAAAATTATATGCTTATACATACATGTACTTATATTAAAAGTTTTGAAAATGTATAATTTTATATACAATTTTCATAAAAAATAAAAATAAAAAGCAAAAATGTTTATATATTTATATTACTACTTACAGTTATTTATATTTAATAATAGTTCAATTATTTACAAAACTTTAAAATTGAGTATTTGGTAATGGAGGAATTTTAGGAAACAATTTTGTTCTTAATTCTGCTAATGTAATTAAAATAGCTTCTTCCGTTCTAATAGTTCTTGATCCTTGTTGAGGACAAGTATTCAAGTATTGATGAAATACCAAAGAAGCATCATCCACATCCAAATTAGGATCGCAATCTACTGCAGCTTCTAATCCAGATAATCCTCCAAATACTATTAAAGCATGATGGTATTCAATGCCTTTTGATTCTATATCATCAATTGATTTTCCTTTATCTGAAGTACCAATGGTTAAATCATATCCACTTTTATAAGGGCATTGTGTTAATACCTCTGTGAGATTATTTGCTAATCTCACAGTATATCCCCAATATATACCAGTATCTGATCTAGGAATATCAGGTGGAACAATAAATCCTTTTAATTTTTTTAGATTTGATTGCTCTTCAGGTATTTTAACTGTAACTCTTAATCCAGCAGTTAATATCTTATCCACACAAACATCATTTAATAATCCTACATTCACATGAGAACCTTTACCAGATTTAACTGGTTTATTTGTAACTACTCCTTCTCGATATAAAGATATATCTTGCTGACGTAAATGATGTGGAGCATCTACAGGATTTAATATTCCAGCATATTGCAAATCTTTATGAATAGGAAAAAAATATTCCTTAAATATTGCGGACATTCAAGATATTGTAATATTCTAGCTAACTGCAAACATCCAATTCGTCTTTCACCTAATACTTCGTCGTTTCTTATTTTTTTCTTTTCACTTTCAATTATTTCTCCTTTATCATCAAAAACAATAATTTCATTTATTTTATAAACACATGCTGCACGTGCTATTTGTCCTGCTAAATATGTTCGTAATTCCGGAGATTGAGCATTGTCTAAAATTGATCCAGGAACTGCAATACTGATTGTCGAAATATCTTTTTTTTCAAAATGTTTCTCAATGGGTTTAACTACTTCTTTCTGTAATTTTTTTTTAATTTCTTCTTTTTCGAATTTTTTGGCTAACCTCTCTTCCTTCCATCTTTTTCGTTGTTCTTTATGCACACGATTGGTTTCTTTCCAAGTTTTTGGTGTAGGAATTGCTGGTGACATAATTTTATACTTTTTCTTTTCAAATATTAAAAAACATAATTACTCACAATTCTTCTAAAATCTTCTAAAAACTTTAAACACGAACTATTTCAAAATAAATTTCAATACTACATTAACAACGTTACGTTTTATGTGATAGCGAGTTTGTATTTTTTCACTGTGTGAAATATTTTTTTTGAATTTTTACCAAATTTTTGCAAATATTAAATTATGACCACAGAAGAAGGTTTTGAACAGGTTTTTAATAAATATTTTATTTCATTTTCTTATTTTAATATATGTTGATATTTAATATTATTTATGAGCCTAACCTTAACAAAGTATTAACTGATTTAATAATATATATTTTTGGAAAATTAAACATTTAAATTAAAATTATCAATGAAAAAAAATAAAAATTATCATAGTTTGAAGATGAGGAGGCCGAAATTCCAATTGGCGGAACTTTACCTGGTGGTAGAAAACGATTATTTTCGAAAGAACTACGCTGTATGATGTATGGTTTTGGTGATGATCAAAATCCTTATACAGAAAGTGTAGATTTATTAGAAGATCTTGTTATTGAATTTATTACTGAGATGACACACAGAGCTATGGAAATTGGTCGTACTGGTCGTGTTCAAGTAGAGGATATTGTATTTTTAGGTAATATTAATATTATAATTTATTTATACATCATGTTAAACATTTTAATATAAGTTTATTAATTATTTATGATATAATATTTTTTATAAATAAATTTTAAGTCAATTTATTAAATTTTGTTTTATAGTTAGAAAAGATCCAAGGAAATATGCAAGAGTTAAAGATCTTCTAACAATGAATGAAGAATTAAAGAAAGCTAGAAAAGCATTCGATGAAGTTAAATATGCAGGTACTGTTAGTCAGTAGATTTCATTTGTTGATATCAAATCATATAACAAAATATTTTTGTCGTGCTTGAATTTATTATTTTAGAGAGAATTATATTGAATTCTTTATTATTCTTTCTGTATTAGTGTAGTCTTCTTAAAAGAATTATTTTTATTCTTTAATCTTTATTAAAAAAGTTTAAATAAAATTTGACTATAAGCAAATTATTTAAAATTTGTTATTGGATATACTATTATTTAAATATAAATAAAGCATTAGAATAGTTTTGATTTATTTACAAATATGGAATGCTTGTGTGCTGCATTTTTATGATACTTCATGCTTGCTTATCTACATAATTAAAAATATTATGATATATTTAAGATCACTCATTTCTTTTTGTTATACAAAAAGAAATATATATATAAAATTAATATTTTTGGATTTTTATAAATAATATATATATATATATATTTTATAAATAATAATATTAAATTGTAATAATTATTTTATATTATAATTCTATTACTTTTTATTTTGTAGTATTAGTAGTATTACATTTATGTATATAAAAATAGAATATATAAACAAATACTTATATCTTCTTTATATATTTTATGTTTTATTTTATGAACAATAGTTTTTTTTTGTAATAAAAATACATACTTACATATGTTTTATTTTAATAAGTATAAAATATTACTCTAATGATTTTTTTAAATGCTAATTTGGAATAATTATTCCAAATTCCTTTTTAATATCCTTTTTATATCATTTTTCAATTTTAATATTTTATTTCCCTTTATTTATTATTTTCATTTTAATATAAGAATTGTACTTTGTATTTTTATTATGCAGCATGAATAATGCATGTTTAAAATTAAATTGCAATTTATTTAAAAAAAAAGATTATCTTGGTTTATTTATCATTACTATTTTATTATTTTTTTGCACGTATATTATTTTGTTTTTAAATCAAAAGAAAGCATTATAATATATTTGATTGGACAAGCTTGTTGTCAAGTTTGAATTTGAATCTTATAAAGTTATATCATATATTGATTAATACTAGAAACAGCTTCTTTTGCTGACAGAATAACATGAGAGACTCCTACACCGTGGTATGAAGAACCACACAGCCCCAAAGGTATTTTATGCGCGGAGATGTAATCGTGGATACGAGTTAACCGTTGTGCGTGACCAATTACATATTGTGGAATACAGTCTTTCAGAATGGAAACATTACATATCTTGGGATCTTCATTAATGCATAAAAGTTTATTTACATATTTAATTGCTACCATTTTTAAATGTTCTTCAGATGAACATTTACCAAAGTATTTTTCAAACCATGCTCCACCCATCATTACTGTCAGTACCTGGATTAAAAAAAGATGTACATATTCAACAAGTATTTCTAGTCCATTACATATTTGTAAAAATTTGTTTAAATTTTAAGATCATTTTGTATTATTGCTAGAATTTTTTTAAATTCATTATGACAAATAATAAATTTATGTAATAAATATTGAAATTGTAATAGAAAAAAAATAGATAATAAATATTTATACAACAATATTCAATTAAATTTAACTAAGTTTGGGACCCAATAGTTAAATTCTTAAAATTAAATTTACAAAATTATATACTTTTTATCAGAATTTGATTTAAGCATAATTCAATAAAGTAAGATATCTCTTATTATTATATTTTTTGTTATTGTTTTATCTATTTTCTTTTTATTTCTATTAAAACACTGTAAATTAATAAGCTATTAACAATGAATTGTGTAAATTTAATCAAATTTAACTAAGCACTGTGTTTATACATACTGTCATTTTGGAGTTTTGAGGAAGGGCACATGAATCAAATATTATACCCAGAATTGGAATTTCTTCTTTTGGTGGAATAAGAACTCCAAAAGCTTCAATAGGTAAAATATTTTTAGAAAATTGAAAATTAACTACAGCTATTGTTACTGTAGGTATACTATGTAATTCTTTAGATAGTTTTGGATGTTGTTCTTGTATTAAATTAGCTAAACATTTAGCAGATAAACTTGATATAATATTAGAATATTTTTCAACTTTTCCATTTATAATTAATTCTACACAGTCTTTATTAAATGTAATTTTTTCACACTTATGTTTTATTTTTATATTTACTCCACGTTTCATTATATTTTCTGCTAGTGTTTGAGGTAATTGTTCAAAACCTCCTTCAAGACCCCATGTGCTCCATGCTTCTCTTTTAGCTCTTTGTGCTAAAATTGAAGGTGTGTTATGTATTTTTAATATTGTATGAGCATCATTTGTATTTTTCAATTCAATTTCATTCTTGTTTTTGTTATTTAATATATTTGAAAATTTTTTTTGTATAAAACCCATAAATACAGAACCATATTTCTGTTCAATTTCAAATAAATTTGTCATGCATGATCTTGCACTTAATTTATGTATATCACCACCACAAATTCCACATAATATTGGGGCAATCATTTTTTCAGATACATCTTTGCCAAATCTTCTTTCTACAAAACTATATATGCTTTCATCATCTGTAAGAATTTTCTTTGCTTTGAAGTCATTCCACAAAATACTAGTTAAAGAACGATTTAATAATGTATTTTTTGTTATAATTCCTTTTAAATTATTAGGTAAACAATGTAATACATTATCTGCATAAATATATCTATTTTTAGCAGCAGGATGATTAGCTTTAATAGGAATGATTTTTGATGATAATCCTAATTCTTCTATTAAATTTAATACATTATATGTATTGGCTCTTATAACTCGTGGACCTGTTTCAAAAATCGTTCCATCAGATTGTTTTATGGAACGTATCCATCCACCTACACGATTTGAAGCTTCTAATATAACTAATGGAGCCATTCTTGTATTCCCAAGTGCATAATATGCAGCTGATAAGCCTGATATACCAGCACCTAATATTGCTGTCATTTTTTATTATTTTGTTATATTAATAAATAAATATTAATTTTAAATATTTATTTTAAATAAAATATATATATGAATAAAATTGAATAATATGCTTATTAATACAATTATTATGTTTCATAAAATAAATTAAAAATGATTATATTTTTCTTTTTACCAATCAATTATTTTTTTCAAATTAGTAATATCCAGTAATTTTATGTAATGAATATTATTTAATTTATTTTTTAAAAATTATTATTGATAAATTCATTAAAAAAATAAAAATTTTAAAATAAATAAAGTAAATTGAAATATTAAAAATGCTCTTAATGTTAATTAAATTTAGTTATATTAGCGTATTTTATATTCAAGAAAAAGAAAGATAGGTTATATTTATTTGGAAACAAATAGAACTATTGTACATGAAGTAAAAACTTATATAAATGTAAAAAAGTGACTTTCTATTAAAAAATAAAAATTGTATATAAACTTTTCAATTCCATATGTTTATTGTTTTTAAATACTTTATTAAATTTTATATTACTACTTCATATATATCATATACATATATCATATACATATACATAGATTGAATAATTTAACTAAATTTTTTGGAAATTGTTAATCATTTATAAATTTAATGAAATAATTAAATAATAAACTTATTTATTATCAATTTTATTAAATATATTTATTTATATAGAAGTTATTTTACATTAATGACAGTGTATTGAATTTATTAGATAAAAATGGAAATGTCTGTTTGCGTCATTCAAATTATGATGCATGAATGATTATTTTAATATTCAGATATTCTTAGAAGTGCAAAACGTTTGTGCCATTATTTTTATTTTTTAAATGCGAGACATTATATAGTCAATATTCTGTAATTATATAATAGAATTTACACGGATTCCCGCCAAACTATATTGATATTCAGTGTAACGTATATTTTTTCATACTTTTTAAAATATTTCTTTAAAATTTTTATTCAAATTTCGTAAATTTTTTTCTTAAAGATTTTATTTTATTTTTATTTTATTTTATTAACAAATTATTAATATCATAGTTATCAAATTTGGAATCATTTCATCATTGCAATGAAAGACGGAAGCAGATTGTTGTCAATTCTTCTGAGAGTTTCAGAAAAAGCAGCAAATATAGCAAGAGCTTGTAGACAGAACGATGCATTATTTAAATTACTTGTACAAGAAAAATCAGAGGAAGAAAAAAATCCACGCTTCTTTCAAGATTTTAAAACTTTGGCAGATGTTCTTATTCAAGAGACAATTAAACATGACATAGGATTAGAGGTAAGTTAATAAAAAATATTATATAATTAATGTGTTTGAATAAAAAAATTCATTTATCAATAATAGATTAATGAAAATAATTAAATATTTTATATTGAATATTTTCATGTATTATTTTATATTTTTTATATTAAAAAGAAAAAGAAAAAGAGGCAAACAAAATTAAAGCTAATATAAAAAATATAAATAAGAAATATAAATTAAATATAATACCACTTATAAAATATTAGTTTCCAGAATTGGCTAAAGTAGTACAAGGAGAAGAAACTAATACATTCAGCAATGCTATGGGTGAATCTATAGTAGTTGGAATATGCCCTACTAGTGAAGAAACTACTCAATTATTAGCCAAAGTAATGGGTAGTGATATTGCAACTGCTGAATTATTAGCTACTGAAGTCCATAAAGATGTTCAATTCTTAGATATTCCAATGATAGCAAAGCTACCTGTTGATTTTGATGCTGATATTAATGATCTTGGTATATGGATAGATCCAATTGGTAAGAAATGTAATACTATAATTTGAATGCTCTTAAATAACAATTTATTATAATATATATACATGTAGATACAATATAATATTAATATATTGCTATGTGTATTAAAACGATGTCTGGAAAAATTATATGGTAAATATCTCTATTTTTATAATTTATTTTTTACTATTTCAAATTTTGAATAATAATATCAATAACAACTTTTCTTTTATTTAAATTTCTTTTTTGTCTTTTATTTATTTATTTTTTATTTTTTTTAAATGATATTTTTTTATGTTATTAGATAAAATTAGACAGGTTATTTGTTAAGTCCTCTATTTGTTTTGTAGTTTAATAAAACATGCCTGAGGAGCAATTCGTGGAACTTTTGTAGATTCAACTGCAGATTATATAAATGGAGGTGAAAAAGTCGATCATACCACTGGTGTACATATGAGTGGTTTACGATGTGTTACTGTCTTAATTGGAGTATATATGAAAAGTACAGGCATACCAATTTTGGGAGTAATTAATCAACCTTTCTATACAAATGTAGATTTGCGGTAAATAAAGCAAAATTAACAGAATATTAATACAGAGTCCTATAATTGATGATATAACTGAACGGAAAATGAAAAAATATTGAAAATATAAAATAATGTTTTTTATTCGAGATTTTATTTTCAAATAAAACAAATTTTTAAAATTTTCAAATACAAGTAAAATTGAATATTTTCTAATTAAATATGAATGAACTATCAAGGTAGTTAATCTATGAAAATAAGCAAAAAATAAAAGAGAATAAAATTTTATTGCTTAAGTTCTTATTTTAAAATCAAGATTAAATATAGTTAAAGAATCATGTAATTGATGAATGTCTAAATTCAGTTTTCTCGGAAATTAATTTTTAAATAAAAAAAATTTATTTTTTCTAATTCTTTGTTTCTTTATTTTTTCTTGTTTTCTTATGTAAAGTAATTAATTATCGAAAATTTATTCATATCTAATCGGAAAATAGTTGTGCTTGAAAATTTTTTGAATTTATTTATTATATGTTGTTTGTGTAATCAAAAACAAAATCTCAAAATGAATCTGAAATTGATTCAAAAATTTTATTTTATATTTTTAATTTATTTTTTCACATAGAACTATTTCCTGTTTGATTATTGATATCAATATTTTGTATATTCGTGAAAAATTTATAGAATCAATTAAAGAGGCCAAAATAAATAAATTGATATACAAAAATTACTTGAGACTTATTATAGGTTAAATTAAATTAAGGAATTTAAGTTTTTTTTATTATTTAAATATAAAGTAAGAAAGAGGCAATGAAACTTGATCTTTTATTTGGTTTCTAGAATCGATTCTCTCACGTATATCTCACGAATATATTAACAACTTATATACTTATAAAAATATCAATATTTAACTTAACTAAATTTTATTTAATAGATGGAAAGGTAATTGCTACTGGGGATTTGTAGAAAATGATATTGGAAAATGTTCTATAATGAAAGAACATAATAATAAAAGGATAATTATTCTGAGTAGAGTTGAAGATGAAAATATAAAATCAAAACTTTTAGATGCAGGTTTTATTTTAGTGGAAGCAGCTGGCGCAGGTTATAAAATATTAAGCGTTGCTCTTGGACAAGTTGATGCTTATATTTTATCTAAAAGTTCCACATATAAGTGGGATACTTGTGGTCCACAAGCTCTTTTGCGTTCTTTACATGGAGGTATTATTGAATTCCAAAGTTTTATAAATAATTCCGATTCTGATCATATAGACATAAAATATTTATCTACGTCCACCAATTTTTCGAATAACAATGGTTTGATAGCATATCGAAATTTTGAAATTTTACAAACATTAAAATCGATTTTGTGCAAATAATAATATTGTAGTATTATGTTACATATTTATCTTATTATCTAAGTATTGTGAAGTTGTTAAAAAAAAATTATTTCTGCTACATTTATATGCAATTTTACTTATATAAATGTAAATTCTACTTATATAAAATTTTGATTTTTTTATTTTTAATTTTTTACTATTTTAAATTATTATGTAATATTTAAAAAATATTTCGTATATAACTTAATTATTAAAATTAATAATTTTTAAAGTAATTAAATATAAAATATATTTTTATTATATATTTTATATATTATATATAAATATTAAATATATTTATGAATATTTTATTCAATTTAATTTAATTTAATTTTAATAATTCAAAAATAAAGTCATTCATCTGTGATTGTAAGTAGATTAATTTAAAAAGAAATTATTTTTAATTATTTTGAAGTAAATATTTTCGTATAATAATTGAACGAATACAATTTTATTAAAAAATTGAAAAAAATTGAAATTTGCACACAATATTTTTTAGTATAAATATATTTTGTAAATAAACATAATATGTAAATGTTAAAAGATAGAATTATTAAGTACTAGTAATGGTACTTAAAACAAAATAATTATATAAAAAAGAATTATTTTATTTGTCTATTTTAATCATTTGTTATTTATTGTTCTAAATGTAATTAATGTTAATATAAATCAAAAATAATAAATATGAAATTGTTATTTAAAATTATACACATTGTCAAAAATGTTATATAATATCAAAGATAAATATAATAAAAATGGTTTATGTTTCACTTACGGTCTTTTATTTATTTGTTAAAATTCTGAATATTTCATTTATTTGTAATATATATTATCTATTATTAATTTTTTCTTTATTCCATATATTTATTAGAATTTAAAACTATTTAAATTTAACATTAACAAGTAATATATTAACAAGTATATATTACATTTGAAAAAAAGAAATTTAATTCACATTTTTTTATATAATGTATACAATATGAAAATATTTATATATTTATTTATTATTCTGAACATTTAAAAACAAATCTTATTTGATTCGATAAATTTCAATAATTTTACGTAGTAAATTTCATGTTGATCATAAAAATAATTTAATTTTTGATATAATAATCAATTTTCAAGTTTTTTGAAAATTTTTTATTATTATTTTATTTTTCATTATTAGAATTTATTATGATTTTTTATTTATGACGTTATTGAATTACTATAATATCATGAAATTATAAAAAAAATATAAAAGATCAAATATTTGGAGTTTTTAAATTGTTAATTAAATGTATTTATGCTAGATTTTTCTTTGTTGATATAAATGATTTTTGCTTATTAAAATTCAATAATAATATTTTAAAATATATATTAACAATGAGTCGATTTATCATTCTTAACAACATAAAATGAAATCTTTAAATTCATTTTTGTCACTAATATTTATATACTTCATAATTTTAAATAATCCTTAATTTTGTATATCATTTCTTATATCTGTTTCTTAAATCAGTTTTAAAAAAAGGAAGAGAAAACTGATATTAACTGAAATTTTATAATTAATAATTAAATTATATCTCTTTTATATTTCTTTTATATATTTTATACATTTATTTACTTTAGTTTTAACAAAAAGATACATATAATTGATTAGATCATAGTTCTATATATTTAATCTAATATTATTATTAAAAATGAATATGTAAATGTATAAATGTATGAATATAACTTTTTTTTATAGAAATATTTTAAGAGAATAAATTATTAAAATTGAATTTTTTTAAATCATATAATTATATATAATTTTAAAGATATTTTTTGCTAGTATGGAAATTAAGAAGAGACAATAGTTATGTTTATTAGAGAAAAATTATTTAAAATGTTCTTTGTGATAATATATTTCAAGAACATTAAAACATTAATATATATATGTAACTTTTTGTTAATAATTACTTTTATTTCTTCATATTATATAAATAAATTCTTTAATTAATAATTAAATTTATTATTTTATTAAAAAAACTATTAAAATTACATTATATTACGTAGTTGGCTAATTATTTTATTAAACTTAATTTACTTGTATATATATGTACATAGAAAACATCTCATGTTTACTGCATAATGAATAGAAGATAAGGTCAAATGTACAAGTAAATTAAATTTAAAATAATTAGCCAATTGCACAAAACTAATTATAAACGATTTAAAATTAACAGCTGACATAAGAATTCGTTCATAAGAGCTACAGAATTGCAACTCCTTTAGTATAAAATGAAAGTTTTATTCTAATTTATTATAATTTCTATTTTATTATTGCCACTATTACATTTATATGTTTATTTAAAAATTATTATTTTTTTGTTTTCAATACAATATCGTTGATAACTTTATATAATTCATTTATAAATATATAACAATATGTATTTTACATTATTTGATATAGCAGAGATTCAGGTATATTAGAAGCAGGTATTCAATGCTGGAATTGTATTCAATACAATCTCTATTTATAAAAAATATTTAGATTGCAAACAACTTTTACTGTATATATTATAAAGAAAAATATGTGAGTATTCAAATATATATATTATAATATATATTATATATTTTAATTTTACTGTTATAGTTTTATCACTATAAATTAATCAATATTATCAGTTATAATTTTTACTGTATTTAATATATATTTTAATATATCTATATTTTTTATAAAGTCTGCTTGTATGTAATGTGAATATCTTAAATTTCTAAAATTTCTATTATTTTGCTTATTCAATCTTAAAAAAAATCTTAAAATCGTATCTTAAAAAAAAATCTTATTATAGGATATATTTATCAGATTAATTTAATATTAGTGAAACTTAATCAATTAATATTAATCGATTAATATTAGTATAAAAAATAAAATGCTTGTTATAAACAGTAATGAAATGTTTAATGCTTAAGTTTATTTTTTTTTTCATTTTATTATGTTCATTCATCACTACGTTATCTTTTGACTTAATTGAGTAGTCATTATAGAAGTTATTTAAAATTTACATTGCATTGTTATTAAAAAATAAAATACAAAGCATAATATTCTCTAAATTGTTAATTAATATCTATCATTTAATGTTTCGTTTAAAAAAAGTAATTGAGATAAAGTTAATCAGTTCAGATAATATCATATTATATAAACTCTATACTATCATACTCTATACTCTATACTATCATACTATATAATATATATAAACAGAAAAATTTCAAGAATGCATAATAAAGTTTAAGTTCTATTAAAGAATTTGAATTTCTTAGTAAATAACCATTTTATTTACGAATTATATTGAATAATAATTACATTTATACTTTTTCAAAGTATATTTTGAATATATTATATTATATATTATATATTATTAATGCAATTTATATATTTGATATTGAAAAAATTGCATGATTTTAAAAACATTTATATTCTGCATTATTATATAAAATTTTTTGAATTATTATTATCAAAAACGAAATGTTTCGTAATATTCATTTTAATGTGTTTCTATATTGTCTATATTGTCTCTTAAATTATCGATGTGAACATCATTTGACATGTGCAAACTATTATTTTTTAAATTTAGAGGAAATAATTATAATGTCTTTCACAAAGAATAATTAAACTTCTAAACAATAAAAAAATTTTAAATAGGATAAAGATAATTTTATATAACGTCAATATATGTAAGAAAAGTATTTAAGAGTGTGAAGTCTTTAAAATCGATCAGTCCTTGATATCAGTCAATACAATTTAATTGTTTAATTATAACAGTAAATTATTCGTTAATATGTTTTTAATATTAAATATTAAAATATATTATTAATACAATTTATATATATATATTTAATATACATAAATATTATTATTAATATATTGATATATATTTTTTTTATTATTAAGAATATATAAATTTTGTTTTTGATTATTTTATTAACTATAAATAATATAAATATTTTGTTTAAAATTTTTTTGAACGATGATGAATATTTTATTTTGTTTTTAAATAATATATTTACTTGCTAACACTTCAAATATTAAAAAAATAATAAAACTATAATGATTGGGAATTTAATTAAATTATTTTATAGTTTGTATAGGTAATCAAGAAATTTGATTCTTTCTTCAATATGATAAAGGATCGTTTTTGTCTTTTCATTGCATTTCTTTACTTTTCGTCAACAGGTAAGTTATTCAAACATTTTATTTTGTATGTATATTTAAAAACAAATTTAAGAAAAAAATAAAAATTTTATTACGTGTAATAATGAATTTATTATTATAGAAATTTCAAAAAAAACTTAGCAATTTAAAAATTCACAAAACTTTAAAACTTTATAAAAGCAATTTAAATGATATTACTAACAAACTTAAAACGATTTAGAAAAAAAGATGATCATCTATTACTTTTAATATGCTCGAAGAATATTTACGAAATTATATTGAATTGAAAGATTAAAAAAAATATATGATATCATATGAATGATGTATATTACGTAAAATATTATTGTTAAAATATATTTTCAAATTTATATGAATCTTGTTCTATATGTATTTTTTTTTTTTTTGATAATAAAAAGATGTCTTGTAAGTTTAATATAAATCGAACATACATTCTTATTTAAAAACAAAACATAATGTATGTTTTGTCAGATTTTAATTTTTATTATAATAAGTGTATTCCAGAATATCATACAATATATATATCGTATAATTTTATAAATATAAACAGCGCTTATAAGATTTTCAATACAAAGTTATGTTTAAATAACATTGTGTCAATCATTTTATTATTTTATTTTAAAATATCAATTTTTTAAGAAAATAAAAACATATATAATGTACAACAAGTTGTTAATAATTTTGGAATTAATTTTGTTCACAGTTTTTGCTTCAGACTTAACTGAAAATGTTTTTCTGCGTTTGTATGAAAGGTACTTAATTATTTGTACTTATAAAATATAGTTAATTAATCACGAATTGCACATCTATATTGTAATCATTTCTATTGTAACTTATTTGCAAATTTGAATTGCAATCAAATGGTTTTTTTTTAGGAATGGCTCATATATTGATGAAAATATAAGAAATGCTAATCTATTGGTATCTCACATAGAAAAGAATAACAAAATAATAATCTTCATTAATGGTTGGAATGAAGAAATAAATTTTGAAGATGACCAATTAATAACGAGTGGTAAATTATAATTTTCAATCAACAATTCAGATGCTAATATTAAGAATTATTCAATGTATGATATAGAATCTTTCAGATTCGTAATATTTTTATCATTATTAACTTTTATATTTTTTTTACATTGAATAAATCCTTCGAAGATATGCCATTAATATTTTGTATACATTAAATTATGTACATATATAATTTGCATCATAATTATGCGATCTATTTTATCTAAACTATAATTAATTAAATTCCCTTTAAAATATTACAGCATATTTGGAAAGTACACAAGATAATGTTCTTGCACTCGATTATCGGAATGTTAGTAAAGAATTTTATCTATTTGCTGTACAACACGTATATGAAGTTGGCAAATCTGTGGCTGCCGCTTTGAACAATATGATAGAAAATGGCATAAATTCGAAAAATATACATATAATTGGACACTCATTGGGAGCTGAGCTTGCGGGGATTATAGGGCGCAACATGAACAATAAAATTGGCAGGATAACAGGTATTACCTATAAATTACATACTTTTTTCAAATATTTTCAATGTTAAAAAGGATGAAAAGCAATTATCACAATTATCTTAATCAGAACTTTATATAAAATAGATTTAAAATGCAAATGCAAATAGAAAATAAAATTCTCGCGAATTCCTTTCAAAAATTAAAATTATTTTTCAACATTCAATAAAATATTCTTTCAAGAGTTTAATTTCAAATATATTATGATAATCGTATCTTTATTTAATAAATTATAAGAAATTTATATTAGTTGAATACGAAAACAAAATGCTTTATATTTGTCACATTATTTAAATGTAAGTAAAATTTTTTTTATAGGCTTGGATCCTGCCGGTCCCGGATATTACATTCTCAATACTCATTTGAGTGCCTCCGATGCCGAATTCGTAGACGTTATTCACACTGATATGGGTTTCTTTGGTCTAGCTCTGAAAATTGGTCATGTGGATTTCTTTCCTAATTATGGCTATAGATCGCAACCAGGTTGCCTATTATCTAACGATGGTTTGTATAAAATATATCGCTCTTAAATTTTTTATTTTTTGAATGATACTGATGAAATTATTTATATATGAAGAGTAAACATTTAATAATCAATTTCTAAATTAGAATAATCGTCAAAATCATTGAATAATAAGTCATTTTTTATTAATATAATAGTTTTCATTAATTTAATATAATGAAAAATATATGATGTCATTTAAAAATACTGATGACATTGAAGTCTGAATTAAAAAAATAATAACAATTTTTGTTATTCAACTTTTTTAAATAATAAAATATATTTTACATTTTGAAAAGTTTTTTTGATAAATAACAAAGATATTTAAATTTTCTATATCTTGTATTTATTTTTCACATAATTTGAATATGTATATATATGTCAATTATTATGAAAATTTTTCTATTATTTTAAGAAATATTTTCTATCATTTAAATAAAAATAGAATAAAATATATATAATATCTAAAATATATATAATAAGAAGTATAGATTTTTCTTATTATTTCTTATTATTTTTTTTTTTTCATAATAAATATTATTTCTTTACAGATTTTTGCAGTCATCACAGATCCTATAAATTTTATGCGGAATCAGTTAGAAACCCTAATGCTTTCATTGGAAAGTGTCATTCATTAAATCAATGTAATGGCGTTAAATATATTCCAATGGGATATGCTACACCCAGCAATACGTTAGTAATTTTTAATTAATTTTTTAACATGAAAGTTCTAATTCTCCTTATTTAACATAAAATAAGCATAAGAGAGAGAACATTTTTAAATTAGTTTTTTTTACTACTTGTGTTAATATTTTTTTATAATAGATTATTTTTTACATTTGTAGGACTGGTAATTATTATCTCATAACGAATGCAAAGAGTCCTTTCGGCCAAGGTTTAACAGGAGCAACTTTTAATCCATTAAGAATTGTCCCTGTATTATAAATTGACTGTTTATTGTAATTTCATTAAAAATTCTGTAATTTCAAATATTTTGTATCTCAATATTCATGTTGCAAAATAAATGATTATTTTAATTATTATGAATCAATGATTATTGAAATTAATATTTTATTTTGATATATTGAAAAGAAAAGTGAATAATCATGCAATAATCATTTGTTATTTATTTTTCATAAATCTTCATATAATTATTCTCTTTTATTTTATAACATTGATGTATTTATTGCTATATTGTCTGCTAGTTAAGTTGTCATAATGGGAATCATCTACAGTGAGCATCTATAATATAAATATCTATAGATTTATGATATAAATATCTATATGTTATATATCATATAGTTTTTAAAACAATTACAGTTTTTTTGAATATTATCATTTAAATTATAAATATCATCTAAATTATAATATAACTTATTATCATAAAATTAACTTAGATAATATCAAACTATATAAATACAAGTGACGCGTAATATTTAAATTTTGAAACTTACGTTATTATAAATTCGATCATTCGATTTTTGGTAAACGACTATTTTTAATTTATAAGTACAATTATATTTACAAATATTACATTACATATTAAATATGCTTTGAACATTATATTATTAATACATTTAATATTAAAAAAATTAGTAATTTTAAAATCATATAAATTCAATTGGATTAAATTGTTTTTTTCGAGAATTAAGAATTTCACATTTCATCTTTAAATGTATATGTATATATATTATTATATATGTATAAATATATCAATTGAAATATTGAGATTGTAAACTTATTTAAATAAATTAATTTACAGTTTATATCAAGTCAAAGAATTTAATTTGCCTCTCAATATGATCAATATTTATTTCTATTGTTTCTTCGCATTTTTCAACTTCTTGTTAACAGGTAAATATTTGAATGTTTTCTTATTTTTATATAAAATGTTCATATGAAGTAAATTTAACGAATGATTCTAGAGAGATTGTAGAAGTATTATAGAGATTAAGATAAATAAAAAAAATTTATATGCAAAAATATTTATTAAATTATATTTTTCATATTTTGATGATTTTCAATTTAATTTTCAATTCACTAATCAGATGAAAAAAATGAGTGTAACGAAGATAGAATCATTTTATTTTAATAATATTATTTTATATTATTTTATATTGATGTTAAATATAGATAATATAAATTTCAAATATATGTACAATGAATTGTTAATAATTTTAAAACGAATTTTGTTCATAGTTGCTGTTGATATGCAAAATATTTTTTTACGTTTATATAACAGGTATGTTTAAGATACAATTAACTAATTCCTAATTATATATTTATAATCATTTCAACTTTTTTGAACTTTTGAAATTCGTAATAAAATTATTCTTTTTTAGGAATGGCTCATATATTGATGAAAATATAAGAAATGCTAGTCTATTTCTTCCGTACATACAAAAAAATAATTATTTATAATCCTTATTCATGGTTTCACTGAAGATATAAATTCTCTTGATATAAGATTAATGTCGAATGGTAAGTTATTTTCAATGAACAATTCAGATATTAAGAATTATTTAATGGATTCGTAATAACATTTTTATTATTATTGTATTAACTTTTATATTTTTTTTTACATTGAATAAATCCTTCGAAGATATGCCACTAATATCCTGTATACATTAAATTATACATATATAATCATAATTATCTATTTTATCTAAATTATAACTAATTAAATTCCCTTTAAAATATTACAGCATATCTGGAGAATACGCAACACAATGTTCTTGCACTCGATTATCGGAATGTTAGTAAAGAACTTTATTCATTTGCTAAACAAGACGTAAATAAACTCGGTGAATATATGGCTAAAGTTTTGGACGATATGATAGAAAATGGCGTGAACTTTAAAAAAATACATATAATTGGAGTCTCATTGGGAGCTGAGCTTGCGGGGATTATTGGACGCAACATGAACTATAAAATTGGCAGGATAACAGGTATTACCTATAAATTACATACTT